AAAAAAAAAAAAAAAAAAAGAAGAATCAAATTTATCGATTCGATGGAAATTCAATCGTTGTATAAGTTCGATAGAAAAATATGGTGCAAGTGAGAGAATTTAATTTGAAAATATTGTTTTTCAAAATATTGCAAATTTCCAAACGATTTTGTAGTAACGATTTTTAAAAAATTCATACGATTTAAGAAAAAATAAATAAACAAATAAACTTATACCTCTCCTCCACCGTAGAAAACTTTTTCCAAAACTTTTTCTTTCTTAAATAGCACGAAACATTCCGTCTTAGTCGTACAGCGACCTACTTGAAAGACAGCCCGAAGGTATATAGTCTCTTATCGGAGACTATTGCATTTAAATCCACCGTCTCCTTCTTTAAATAAAATCCTTTCTATTTCACATTATTCACATTAACGTCTCTTTTTATCACCAAAAAAGAAGAAAAAAAAAGTACGCTCACGTCACAATCCCATTCCATCTCAATATCCCTTAATTACTTAATCTACGTCAAAGCGTATTCAAGGAAATGCCAATTACCATTCCAGTGGAGTCCAATGGTCGTCCAACAATTTTTCGCACGTTTCACCTCGTCGCTTGTCTCTCTCTCTCTCTCTCTCTCTCACCCATCTCCTCCTCCCTCCCCCCGCGACGAACGATCACACGCGATCATCCCCCGTTCCAGGAAGAAGATCTTGCCTCGATGGAATTATCGGTTTTCGAGATTCAGGGCGCGATACAGGGGGGGGGGGGGTAGAGGCGCGAATTTACGAGCGGTGCGGTTGATTTATTCGCTGGCAAATTGCGTCGATAACGCGGCCGTGTTGCATCGACCACCAATCGGGACCAAGATCGCTCGTTAGCGAGCATCCTTTCAATTACCGCATTTACCTTAGGCGGCGCAACATTATCGGCTGTCGCGACTGATGGAGAGGTGAAAAGGGCCGCGACTATTTCTTTCCTCTCTGAGCGCGGATATATCCTTGCATAACCCGATGCATTTTCGCCCGTGTAATTTATAACTTTATAGTATGAACAGAGCCGGGGCCACGAGTGATGATTAATGATCTCCCCACGAGGGAGGGAGGGATATTCCTCGCGATATTTATACAATCCGCGTTATAATTTCGTTTTCGAATTTTTTTCTTTTTTTTTTGGTTCGTTCGTTGTTTGGAGGGTGGAGCGGTGCAAAATGGGAATGAGAGGTTCGCCGTTCGATAATCTTTCGGCGAATGAATGTATTAAGAGGCAAAGGGGCGATTCTTTCTTACTTTTTTTTTTTTTTCTTTTTTTTTGCGAGAAATACGATGCACGCGCGCGAATACGTATGATGTACACCAGCGTAGGATTGATTTGAAGATTGATTATCCGTGAAAGGATTTATGCTTTCAGGATTGTTTATTCGCGTTGAGAGAGAGAGAGAGAGAGAGAGAAATATTATAATTTCGTTCGTGGATAAGTTGTACAGGTGTATTGGAATATTTATTCGGAGAATGGAGAGAAGTTTAAATACTCGTTAAAAAATCAATTATCGCTAACTAAATTTTTATTGGACATTGTATTTAATGTCATCGGATAAAATTACTGTTTTGTTTGCTCTGTTACTTTATATACGATACAATATCGATTAATTTAGATTGTTTTCAGATGAAATTTTATTTCTTGTTTGTCCTGTTTCTTTATGCAGCGAGATCGATATATTTTATTTCTCTCCATTCTTCAACCGAATAAATAAGAAATATGATAAAATAAAATTATCGATAATAATAATTAAGTAAAAAAGAATGGAACAATTTTCATTCGTTCTTACTTTTCAAAATATAGTGGATACTGGGAACAAATCTATCTACAATTGGATAATAAAATTCCTATTTTATCCTTTATCCTATCCTGTTACTTTACATTAGACAATGTCGCCGGACAAAAATTCAATTATTAAAAAATATCGTTCGAACAATAATTTACTTTAACGTTTATAATTTACGTTATCACTCGATCCTTCCTCGACAACAACATAAGTTATTATTATTTAACCATCGTTAAACTATTCTCGAACTCTCTAAAATCCCATTCTATCCATTATCCGAAATCCCTTAACTCGCCCTTCCTCTCTCCTCTCCTGCCCATTTGTTTGCAATTTAATTTCGTTGCGAATTCCCATCGCTGCGAATTCGGTTTCGCGACGCGTAAGACGCGCTTACAGGATCAAACTTTGCCCGCCCCGCGTTCACTCCCGGCGAGGACGACAACAACGAAGGCGTCGAATAAAGTTGGCGAATAAAAGGGAGGGTAAAGTTCGAGGTAAGATTGCGCGCGGGAGTGGTAAACAGGGGAATACAGGTGTCCCCGTTTCCATAACGTTCGATTTCCGGATTGTTATCAGCCGTGGGAAGTTTTATGCCACAACCTCCGCGCGTACACACACACATATATGTATATTTCTCGTGAGCCATGTCGCGTCAACGGCACGACCACCCACCTGTCCAAAGGCCTACGCTTCTACCCGCACGAAATCAGATCTATCGTCGAGTGTTTGCATTGCAACGCGGCCGAATACGTTTCGAATTCTTTATAATTTGTTTACTTTATTCTTCGATGACTTGCTTCGTGAACTAATATTCGAATAATTTAAAACGCGCTATAGTTCGAATATATTATTTACGAATAATTTTTTGTTTAAAATGATAATATTTTTTAAATTCTGCTTTTCGAAATATTAAAAAAAAAAAGAAAAACATTTCGCAAAATCGTTTCTCCATTCGAGAAAGCGACGAGTTTCTCGATTTTAGATTTATAGATTTCGATCGAAACGAAGCAAAAAAAAAAAAAAAAAAAACTCGAGAGAAAAAAAAAGAAGAAAGAGAAGAACGATAATTCTCGCCAACAAACGGTTATTACGGTCCTTTCCACCGTCTCGAAGCATCTCCCTTTCATTGGAAACGGATTATTGTCGAAAAATTGAAGATGGATAGAGGATGTAAGGTCGTTTGAAAGGGGAGGGGGAGGCACGGCCGCGCATTCATTTTAACTGGCGCGTTCGTTTCCGCGACAAAGCGCCTCGCCGAATTCCACGCGACAAAGAACCTCCCCCGCGAGATACCTGCCGCGTCTTATCCGCGAAATTCATCCGACAAAAGTGTGCCAAGCTCGATTTCCCACCCCACCCCATCCCTCCTCCATTGGCCCCATTGTGCTTCTATATTCCTACTTGATGCAGTAGGAAAAAAAGGCTCGCGCGTGGTGATAAAACGATAGAGCGGTAAAGGAGCGGAGAAAATTGTGTTTGAAAAGGGGAGGAGGGGGGAAGAAAAACGGGGAAATAAGGAAAGAGGGATCCTCGAGACGGTTTTGAGGCGAGATGAAACTTTATGCTGCACGCCCGTTAACGGTGCTCATTAAGCTGGAGGCTTTTGTGCAAAAACGAGGGAACGTGTGCAATTGTGATCGAGCGTGAGCTTGACGAGAGGGAGAATTTAACGAGTTGAGAATCGGGCGTGGAATGTACGATAGAGATGGATTTTGGGGAAGGGGGTGGTTATTGCTTGGTGGATTAAAGCGAAGTGTGTTGGATTGTTTGTTCAACTTTTCCTATCTTCTTGTTTCGTTGTTAATTTGTATTTTCTTTGGAACTTTAATCGCTCTTTTCGTGAAAATATTAATTTTAGGCAACGCACATTTAACATTGGAATATGTCAATTTGCTATGTTTTTTTGAAAAAATAATTTTTTCAAAGACGTGAAAGTACTGGAAATCTAATCTGTATGGAAATTAAATTAATTTCCGGTTGAATGTCTTTAAATATATAATTATAATAATTTTTCTACGAGTATATCGTTGATCAATATCGTGTTGATATTTATCGTGTTGATACTATTAAATTACGGATGACAAAAGAAAATTGAAAGGATGACACACACACACACACACATGTATAAGGTTGACATTACAAAGCGATATGGAAAACTGGATAGAGGGGTGAAAAAAGCAGGAAAGAGGGGTTGGGCAAACAGATTGGAAAGCCAACAAAGTTATCGAACAATAGTAAAGAGAAGCCTGCCAATGGGAAGGGGGATGAAAGAACTTTCGTGGAAAGAAGTTGAATAATACTGTGAATAGAAGAAAACCGGGGCAAAGGCGAAGGAAGGAAAATTACAGGGTGATCTGAAGAAGGGATAAGAAATTATTCGAAAGATACGTAAAAATGAATGATGAAAGTGGAGGGAAAGTGAATATAAAGAAAAATCGGGCGGTTAAAAATAAACAAACGAAGAAGTAGGAACGATTAATAGAACAAATCAAGCTCGGTGAGTAAAGAGATAAATGCGAAGGGAAAAGAGAAGATATATAAGAAGAAAGAAATTTTAAAATGATCGAATTGCGAGCGGATGAATTTCAAGTAAGAAGAGATCTAGGGGTCACTAAAACAAAAAAACTAGGGGAAAAGCATAAAGATAGATTTACGTTTGATGGATTAACATAAGGATCGTGTTTCTTTGTTTGCAGTTTAACGTGATTTCACTATTTATTGAAATTTTGCGCAACCAAAGCGTACAGTTTTATTTACTAATTCCTTTCAAATTATAAATTCCAATTATAAATTACTTTTATCATAAACTTCAATATAGAATATATTGAACATTTATGAAGAAATCACATCAAACTACGAAAGATCGCGTACGAAGATGTTGACGAGACAATTCTATCGCAATCTTTCGAATACATCAACCCTTTCTACGTAAATAAAACCAAATATTTTAATATCCCATCATCCTATAATATGAACAAAATGTCACAACTCTAAATTATATATTACGATCTATCGATCTTTATCCGATCTTTATCCGAACTTGAAACTTGAAACTAACACTGAAGGATGAAAAATGTAAAATTTAAACTCACCAGGCGTGATATTTGGGAAGGGTTGGCCCGGCAAAGAGGGCGGATGCTCGTCCTCCGGGGACCGTTCCGAGGCGTAACCTTGATCCTGCGGTTCCAGTTTGCTCAACTTCAAATCGATGCACTTGCCGAGCTGCTGCCGATGCCTGACCAACTCGCAATCGGGCTTGTGCACGATCTGCATCAGTAGATCGTTGTCGGCCGCGTCTGGGACGCACGGTTGGGAGGACGAAGAGTTCGTTTCCACGTTCGTCCCACCCTTCCCCCCACCGTTTCTGGTGTCCTGCTTCCGTTTCGGCAGCGTGCCCACCAGATCGAGCTCCGAATTTCGGTGACATCTGTCCTCCAGGGACGTGCCTCGCGCATACCTTCTCCCCGAATCGCCGGACATCGTCTCGGCATTCCGATTTCTTCTCACCGAGTCGAAATTACCGTGACGGCATCGCACCAGATCGAGATCGCTTTGCTGATACCTGCAACAACCAATTATTCGTAAGTTCAGCGCGTAGCGGAGACGGGATTTTGATCAATTTATATCGGCTTGGTTATTCCTTGGAACGCTGTTTAAGGTGTAAAACAAATATACGTGGGATTATTTGTAAATAATTTTCGTACGACGTTAATCTCGATGAAAATATACTATAATAAAACGAACATTCATCCAATATATCAATTAACTCTACGCACAACTGCAATGCTCGAACTCTAGCTGGTAATTATATATGTATTTCATTTTAAATTGCAAAATTATTCTAGTATTTTTTACAATATACAATATACAATTCTAAGATTTCAAGATTATTGTGACAAATTCATTTAAGATGCAATTTATACTACTTTCAAGTGTTCGATACTGTGCATATTTAATATTTTATCCAATCTCGTACACGTTTATGCGAATGCATAATAAGAGGAAGATAAGCTGACAGAGATGACTGATGGCATACCTCCAAGGATCGTTTTCATCCAAAGAATCTTGGGATCGATGTTTCACGAGGTCCAGAGTCCCGGTTGGTCCTCCGTCTGAGAAATGCACGCCCAACGATCGTTTCTTGTGCGGCAATGTTCCGCCAAGATTCCCACTGATCGTATCCGTCATTACGTTATTATTTTCCTTCGGATCGTCGTCCAACGCGTCCTTGTCGTCCAGATGATTGGGCAACGAGCCACAGAATTTGTATCTGAAAAGAGGCGAACGCTCGTTCTCAGTTTTTTTTCCCGCGAAGATATTTTAATTTTTCAGAGACAATTTTTAAGACTTTTTAAAAGAAAATGGCGAATATATATATATATTAAAAGTATCTTTTTTTAGAAATAAGAACATTGTACATTGTATAAGATTATATTTTCTACGTATCACGAATATACGATTAAAATTTTCTGTACGGAGAAGTAGCAACCAATTATTCTAATTCAAACAACAGTATCCTTTAAATTTGGGGTTGAACGAGAAGGGTAGAGGTTGCACGAAAACGCAGTCCATGTTTGCATAATTTAGTTCCGTGTTTGTTCACTTTTACCGGATTAGATAACACGTGTACGAGATTTTATCGATATATATATAGTAGGGAAAGTTTAAATTGACGACGAGGATTCTTCTTCATTCAAAAATTGGGAGCTCTTCTTCTTAAAATATTATTCTCTAATTTTTGTTTCTTTAAATAATCAATTTTCGAAACGAAATCCAGAAGATAATAATTTTCTAAAATGCTCCTGTAATTCTGCTTCCTGTAATCGCCTTTTCAAATCGAAACAATGCTACTTTCGATCAAATTTTGAAAGATAATGCCCATAAAATCGAAATCTTTCGTTTTGTTTCGTTTCGTGTCGTCGATAGCGTAGTTTAACGTGTAGCGTCTGTCAGCCGTGATGCGCTGTTTCGCAACAACATACAAGTTTCCCCGCCGTTTGCGCGTGACACCGTTTGTAATATTATATTCGTCGTCAAGTGCACAAGTATCTACGCGTATCTACAGTCCTTGGGACAAATTATAACGAGGAGAGATTTTAATCAACCGCGACTTTACGAGCGCTCGTAACAATTTTCCTTTAATACTTCGATAGTTTATCAGTCGTAATATATTTTTGTGTAGTTTTAGTAATACATTTTTGTGTTTCCTGTACGATTTTGTGGTTCTGGTTTTTTTTTCAGGTCGACAAACGTTCGTTTCAATTACAGAGGAGAATTATTACGGAAATATTTATTGAAGCTTAGGCCAAAATTTTTAAAATGTTCAATGCCGATCAATGATCTGATACTGTTTTCATTCAAGGGGATTGTATTTTGCAATGTATCTACGTATAAAATTTTAACGAAAGAAATGGAATTTTTTAACAAAAATCGATCAATTTTCTTACGATACGAGTTTCTTAGAAATTTTTATTCCCCAACTCGAGAGAAGCGAACCTTGCGTTTTCTCTGACGCCACACGCAAAGATACAAAGATTCTTTCTTTCCATCCGAATTATTTTTCTTGCCAAGAGATCAGGGAAAAGAATTTATACCGTTCAATATCGGTTGCACGGTTGTTCAGGTTGAACAACAGCACTTACGCAAATGAGATCAAGATTCGAGGGCCTTTTAACCCGTTCTCCCCTTCTGCTTTTTACCCCTCCGTTCATCCCTGTTTCCCTCACAACTCGCATCCGTTCTCGCGCAAACGAGGATTTAATGGAAACCGCCCCAGTTCCCCGACTGACCGACCTTAAAGGGACTTTAAATTATCTCGCGACCAACGCTGTTATATACGTCGTTGTTGCTTGTTTAAGCAACACTGAACACCGCCTCGTAACGAGAAATCCCCAGCAAAGAGTCGAGGCTTACGCGCACTGTTTACCTCGATTCATTTACCTTCGTTTATTATTATTTGTCGCCCTCTGCTTAATTTGGACAAGTTGGTGCATTTACACTCAATTTTCAAATTGTTATTTGTCATATCGACAGGAGATTTCATTTTGTTGTATTTTCTTTTTTTTTAGTCTTTTATAAATAGGAAAGAAATATTCGTCCTGAAATGATTAAATACGTTAAATACGTTCTAGGAAATTGGCATTGATTGAAAAGAATTTTGTGAGTGAAATTATAAATCATATTAAAGATATCATCAAGCTTGAATAATACGAAAAAACGAGACTAGATTATTGACAGATACTCGTTAATTTCGAGTTAATGTTTGATAGTTGTTCAATAAACAACTTTTCCTTTTTTTTAAATCTTTTATAAGTAAGAAAGAAATATTCATTCTGAGATAATTAAATACGTTTTAATTGGCATTTGGAAAAAATTTTGTGAGTGAAATTATAAATCATATTATTATCAATGAACAATACGAAAAAAAAATTTGTTAACGTTCGGTAGCTTTACAATAATCGATTTGTAATTAATTTTATAATATTTATACTGGACATGAGATAATTACAACTCCGTAGGATATGCCTATATATATATTAATCTGTTATCGGCATTCCGCTTCACGAAATTATAATTTATCGTGATCCATATAATCGCTTAGATTTTCTCTCGCTTGATAACCAGAATTGAAAGGTACACGCTTCGAAAAATAATATTTCGATAAATTTATATTTAAAGGTGAAAATATTTTTATTCGATTATGAATCACGCGAGAAAAAGAAGATTATCGAAAAACTAGATTGATAAAAATTTGTTCAAATAATTTGTGTAACAAACGAGAGAGAGAGAGAAAGAGAGAAACATTATTTTTACAGAATGAAAAATACACATGTCATATCGCGTTAATGTAATTTTTTCAAATGAAAATTACCATTGATAATTCACCGTATATAAAAATCATTAATTTTCGTTTCATTACAATAATATCCATAGAAATTTTTCACGAACCATCTCACATTCTATTCGAGTAATCCTGAAAAATTAACAACACTCCCCGCTCTGTATAATAATGAAACAGGATTCCTCATTTATTCAGAAATACCACCAACGAATTCCGAATTCTCTGTAAAATCATTCTCAAAATTAAATCTAAATTATAAAACCTGTTCATTAATATAAATAACAACTTGTCTTTAAAAATTAGAATCGAAAGAATTTCTTCGTTAAATAAATTATAAAATTATACGTATTCAAATTTTTCGTTTCGTTTACGAAACCTTACGAAATCGACAAACTTTGTATCGTCACAAAGCGCAATCGTCTTGGCGTACCACTTGAAATTGTAATTCCGCTAATTACGCATCTCCAAAGGCAAACGAATTAACTTCGTTTTTTGTCCCTTTGAACGTCCCATTAAACGTCGTTTCCTTCGTCGTGTTATCGGTGTAATCGTCCAACGTAACTAAATATGCTGGTTTAATGCAGCCAGATTTTATTGCGTGGAAGAATTTTGTTGTCGGGACAAAAGGGATTTCATTCGTGCGAAACTACCTGCTATCTTTACCACCTCATCTTCCGGCTGGATTTAATTACGACGCGTTTCCGCCTTAGAATTTTAACTCCTCGCGAATAATGTAATGTTCACGGTTTAATAGATATAAATTTGCGCGTGTGTACATCCTCCTCCTATCCTCCCTCTGGAAGAAACGAGAAAGAAAGAAATAGTCTCGTAGCGATTTCAATCGCGTCGGAATTTGAAAGACGACAGTTCAGTTCGGATCGTTGAACTTTTGGAAAAATTCGAGCGCGTTTTTCCGGAGGAAAAAGAAATTTGCGCGAAAGTGAAAATTTCAATTATAAGATCGATATTATCTGTATAAAATTTTTGCGAATATAATTATATTCACAAAATAATTGATCTGTTTGTCAATTCACGCGTGTTTATTTAAATAGATAAAATTTTATAAATCTTCTTATAATATAAATACGCGAATAGAGAAATACATTTAAACCTAATTAAATTTAAAAAATGATGGTGAAAATGAAAATGGAATAAATGATTTACCATTCAATGTACAAAAGCTTGTACAAACTTTTAATTTTCCCTTGCAGAATTGATTAATTAATATGTGGATTAATGGTGAAAGCGATTCTTTGAAGTGATTTCAATATATTTCGATCGGCTTTCATTTCGCCGATCACGTTCTTCCCGTGCTAACACGATCGAGACACAGGTTTGACAAGCGCGTTAAACCCGCGTTATACGATTGAACGTAAGGCAAACATTGACTGAATATTAATTAGAATCCTCTCTGTTTGGGCCGATACAGTGTGTATCAACAATCTATTCAAACTTGAGGCGGACACGGCTTAGAAATTATATATATATATATATATAATGGATATATATATATATATATATATATAGGCAGGGAAGAATCGATCGCCGAATTCATCTCTCCTCTCCTTTATCTCGATCGAGCAGAGGATCTTTTGTATCCACCTTGGTTTATCGCTAAATTAAATTCTGTTTGCTCTTGGCACAGGAGCAAAGGGAGCTCGAAAGGGAGGAATTAGAAACACGAAAAATCGCTTAAACGTCTGAAGACGTTTTTTTCTCCAGACATTTTTGGGGAAAATTTATATTATCGACACGTTGGTTTCAAGTTGATGTTTCAGAATTATTAGAATTTATTAATTTATTATTGGTATTTTCCTCTCGATTCGATATATTATTTTTATCTTCTTCTTAGTGATTTTTATCGTTGAAATTTTTACCGTCGTTAAATACGAGTATTTTATCAAGTATATAAATTTAAGTTTTATTTATGAATAATGTATTGTCAGATAAAAAATGTTGATCCATTTTGCATAAAAAGATCGTTCGAACAGATATGTATTTTAATCGAATTGAACTTCACTATACAATGATGAGTTAAAAATATTGAATTGTTATTGATGCATTAAAAATTACCATTGAATCGCATTAAATTGGAGGAAAGCATTTAAGGTAGTAGTAATTACGATAAATCTTAAAAAAGAAGTTTCTCTAAACCCTTCAAGAAGCAGTAAATACATTAAAGCACGAACTCCATTAGCACTCAATTACTAGCTAATTATACCACTTTGCACAGCAAGCTTTAATCACTGTATACGATCGCTATTTCTCAACGATTTGTAAGACCAAAAAAATTTAAAAATACATTCGGAGAGCAGATAAAAACGAATCGAAAGCATTGTAAATCCAAAGTATATTTTTGACGGCTCGCTATTGCTTGTTTATTTTAAAAAATATTTTTGAAACGAAAATTTTCCATAAATTCAGATTCCAATCCATACGACATTCTACATAATTAAACAAAAAAAAAACCATTTATTACCAATTGTCAAACGATAAGTCGCTTTAAAACGATCCTTTTTTTATCCAAAATCACAATGCTCTATTGAAAAAAAAAAACTACGCAATGACTCTAAAAATCTCCTCTCCAAATCATAACGATAAATCGCTTTAAAACGATCCTTTTTTATCCAAAATCACAATGCTCTATCGAAAAAAAAAAAAAAGAGAAAAGAAAAAACTACGCAATGACTCTAAAAATCTCCTCTCCAAATTATAACGATAAGTCGCTTTAAAACGATTCTTTTTTATCCAAAATCACAATGCTCTATCGAAAAAAAAAAAAAGAAAAGGAAAAACTACGCAACAACTTTAAAAATCTCCTCTCCAAATCATAACGATAAGTCGCTTTAAAACGATTCTTTTTTATCCAAAATCACAATGCTCTATCGAAAAAAAAAAAAAAAAAAGAAAAAAGAAAAAACTACGCAACAACTCTAAAAATCTCCTCTCCAAATCATTCGTTCCAAATTCTCCCTTTCGCCAATCCACCCGACAAGAAAATAAATAAATAAATAAATAAATAATGAAAAGACTCACCTCTCTCTCTGCGCGCTGGAACACGGGACCAATATCTTCCCCATACTGTTCAACTTCCCTTTTGGATCGCACAAATTGCCGGAGGACTGGGTCCTCCGCCCGGTAAGGCCCTTGCCGTTGTGCCGGCTCAAATTCGAGCCCATGTTCGAACCGTTCTTCTCGAGCTGCGCCTCGGTGGTCGTTCCCTCGCCGTTGTTCACGGCATTTCCGGGCGTGTTCTCCTTGTTCGGCCAGTGGTCCGGGTACCCGTCCACGTCCTTGGCATTGGCCTTGCAGGATAAGCCGGGTATCGGCGGTGGCGGCCTCGCGCGCTTGCTCCCCGCCTGCAATTGGGGACGGCAGCCTTTACGACGATTGCTCGCCGATTCCCCGCCCAACGAGAGCCTCTGCACTTTCCAACTGTCCTGACCTCCGCTCGCCGGAGGCACGGTTACGACTTCCTCGCCTGCAACAATGACGCAATTCCGCTTTACGCGCCGCTAGCTAGACGTTCAAGGTCCCCGGATATCGGGGACGATCATCGGTTGGGTGAGGGGAGGGGGCAGTCTCGTTCCTCTCGTTGGCTACGGGATTCTTCGGGTTGGATCTGGGTGGCGAAAGAGAAGCGGAAGAGAATTGTGATGGTGTTTTGTGGATTTGATTTGGATTGTGGATTGATTGGAGTGTGGATTGTCCGTTTCTTTGGAGATTGGTATTTTATTTTATTTTTTTTTTTTTTTGGGTTAGGGAATCTTGAGAGTTGGGATTTGGAGATGCTTTGTGAATTGATTGTAAATTGCTGAAAGAATAAATATTTTTTTTTTGATTAGAGAATCTTGAGAGTTGGGACTTAGAAGTGCTTTGTGGATTAATTGTAAATTATTGAAAAAGTAAGTATTTTTTTTTTGTTAGAGAATCTTGAGAGTTGGGATTTGGAAGTGTTTTGTGGATTAATTGTAAATTGTTGAAAGAGTAAGTATTTTTTTTTGGTTAGAGAATCTTGAGAGTTGGGATTTGGAAGTGCTTTGTGGATTGATTATAAATTATTGAAAGAGTAAGTATTTTTTTTTTTTTTTAGTTAGAGAATCTTGAGAGTTGGGATTTGGAAATGTTTTGTATTGTTTATAGATTGATTTTTGGTTTAGAAATTCTTGAATTGAAATTGGATGAATTTGGAAGTATTTTGTATTACTTGTAGATTCATTGTAAATTTTTGGTTTAGGAATTCTTAAATTGGAATTGGATGGATTTGGAAGTGAATTTGAAGATGTAAATATAATTGTGAAAGGATATTATTTATGGATTAATTGAATTGTGATTGTTGAAATGTTTTGTGTAATTTATTAATTGACTGGATTAAATTAAGTTTCTGATAGCGAACATTAAGTCTTTTTCTTAATTAGAATGTGTGAAATGACGATTGTGAGATTTTTTTCTATGATTTGTGAATTACGTGAGAACGAAAGGAATTTCTTTAAGATCTTAATTTACTCGACGAAAGATTTCATGCACGATCGTTAAAAAACATCGAAACTTTCTTTTTTTTTTTCTAAAATATTGTATCCACTTGGTATATTAAAGATGATTAATAAAGCTGGGAACCTATTTAGCGTTAATTTACGAGAAACATTCCTTGAATGCTTCATGTCAGTAACAGTGGACTGATTGTTCCTCACAATCTGTTTCGTCGGTATCAAACTCGTTTGGTGCCCTGAATGGGCCTGGATCATAGCCAGCATTACGATAGGGTCATCGGAGTATGTCGAAGGCTTAATTCGTGTTAAAACTGTTTCTTGCTTTCTCGCGTCTGCGTTCCTATTCGACGCTTTAAACATTAACAATTAGAATTTTTATCTAACGATAAAACATCGCGTAGTTAAGTTAAACGAAACTTCGATTTTTCATATATAAAAAAAAAAAAAAAAAAAAAAAAAAAAGAAAAAGTACAAGAAGAAGCTAAAGATTTTATCGAAATCAAAATCTACTGAGAAAATAGAGAAAATCGTACCATAGAAATCATTCTGCTTTTTCTTTTATCTCTTTATTTTTCAATTGGTTGCCAAGATACAAAACAGAATCAAATCGTTCGTGGCGTTTAAGACGGGGCAGAGATTACGAATGGGCCCATGACCCAGTGACCTGCATTTTTTCTTGGAAATTATCACGATTTTCTAAGAATTATACACTACGTTTTTCCAGGAATCGCGACTTTCACTTGTCCGGGATCGAGGTAGGTCAGTGAAGAGCGAGAGATTCGAATAAGATATGATATAGATATTGGAGATAGTAAATAATTAAAGATTATCTTTCTCTTTATTTTATACACTTCAATTTTCTCTTTATATATATATATATATATCTATCTTAAATTTTAAAGTTTAATCGAGTTTTAGATAGCGATTAATTAAATTATAAATTGCATAAATATATATATATATCATATATATTTAATAACATTTCGTTGTTATTTAAATAACGAATGTTTATTTATTTCTTTTTAATTTAATACAATTTTTTTTTTGCAATTAAATTTAAGTCAAATAAAATTTATGAATAATAGGGAGAAGAAGCGAGAGAGAGAAGCATATCGAGATAAATTAATTATTCAGCTCTCTTTAATGACCCCATTCTCGTTTGGAAGATCTCGCATAAAGGTAAACGCTTTAACGAGATGCGCCGGTAGGTGTATAGTAGATTTTTCATTTTCGTCTAAAAAACGTGAAGAGAATTGTTACGAAAAATGAGGGAGGGGGAAAAGGATTTTTAACCGAGAGCTGTTAAAAAATAATACGATTAAAAAGTTAGAGGATCGTAAATTATCATCTGTAATATTTCATAATCGAGATTGAATTTAATTATTTTCTCCCTATCTTATTTATCTCTCTCAGAATCATTTTTAATTATTAATTAAAAAATCGATGAATCTTATTTATATTCTCTTCCTGTATTTATTTTTTTGCACATTATATACTTGAATATACATATATTAAATATTCAATATTATATTAAATTGGAAAGAAAGTTCTTGCGGTTTTTAATTATTAAATTCAAATGCACATGTCTCAAACAAAACTTAATCAAAATAAAGACTATTGCAATCAATTTTGCCAACGAGAAACAAGTCATTCCGGTTGAATAAAATTCTGGAGTCCTAGAATTGGAAAATTGTTCAAATTTGCTTCTTAATCTATTATATCTTCAACACCTTGAGGAATCTAAAAGAAATCAGAAAAACTAATTTGAAAATAAAATTAATATCACATTTTCACAGAGCGAAAAATTTTTAAAATTATATACAAAGTCAAATAGAGCATTTAAAATCAAAATAGCAAAAACCGATACGAATTATCATTACATAAAAAAGAAAAATCACTTTTAAATACAAATATCATCCTTTTTCATACAGCGCATCTCGAAACCTACCAATATAAATTTTTACAACAAAATTTATCTACATCTTCTACCTCTCAAAATAGCTATTCCATCAAATTTACCATAATCCACGAATCTGAATCGAAAAAACGGAAACTCCATCGATCGTAATCGATCTTTCTCGAAACGAAAAGCCACGAGTTCATTGGAACCCGTTGTATTGTTCGATCGAATTAAACTCCGTTCCGAAGGGACGTCGCAATTGACAGTTTGGAGAACAATTTTGGAAGCATGGCACAATAGGATTGCTCGTACCGTCGGCGCGTTTAAGGGTCGTGCAGTATGCAACGTTCGTATCGCATAACTTTAACGTAGCGTTTATCGTAGCCGATTCATACGCGTGGCACGGCATTACTGGCGAGCCACTAATATCCACCTCGTGCACGAACCTCGTTCCATAACTGTATTATTAACGATGAGAGGCGTACGCACGTGCGTGCGTGCACGCGTAAGCATTCATCGAACTCGACGGATCAATCGAAAAGGAGGAGGGTAAGAGACGATATTCTTTTTTCGATTCGACAGAGAATGATCTTTCGAGAGACTTGAGTTCCAGCAGATCGAGCGCGTCTTCGGTTCGATCGATGACGATGAATGGCCGAGAATTTGAGATTTTTACAAGAATACGAAGCGTGCGATTATATCTCTGCAAACGGATCTTTAAGAATTTCTCTGTGATTCTTTTAAAAAAATATTCCATGTTTTGAAAAGGGGGATTATTGAAAAGAGGTAGGCGAATGGCCATGGAAGGTGATGGAAGACAAGATGATACCACGATCGAGGAGAAAGTTATTCTTGCATTCAGCGAGATTTGCAAACAGGAAATAGTGTGGAAAGAGTTCGCAGAAGCGTTGTGAAGTGTAATTATTTCCAATGATTTTTATTAAAAAAAAAAAAGAAGAGGGAAAGGATCGAAGAATATTTTCTAATGTAAAGTTTCCCAAGTTTCTAAATTCGGCTGGATATAAATATTAAAAGGGAGACGTCATGCGAGGTCTTGATTTAGCAAATCACCTTTGCTGTTACAAGTTCCAGTCTGACTTCCGGCACTCTTGCAAGTTTATGACACGTTATCCCAAAATAGGAAATAGACTTTCGAGCGGTGTAAATTTTAATTAGAAACTGGGTCCTTCTATAAATATATATATATATTTATATTCGATTGAATCGAAAAGTAACAATTAATAATTTTAGAAAGAGAATTGAAGGAAAAATAATAATAATAATAATAATAATAACGATTGACACGGTATTTTCAATAAATTTTGAATTTGAATCGACGATTTATTATCGAACGAGAATCTAATTAATTTTCCATAATTTCAATAAAACAATTTAATGGAGAATATAAATAAGCATATTTAATAAAAACGGTTCTAAACAATCGAATGGCGGTTTAATTTGATTATCTTTGCACAAACGTGCTTAAGTTCAATATTATTATTTACCTCGATTTTTCGAATCTATGAATAATAATCAATCGAGTAAACAAAGAAATTGAACGGATAGGATGACAAATGAATAATGCTCTGTCATCTTTAATTGTATCAAGATTGATTAACGACAACGTAAAGTTTTAAACGAACTCTATGTCTCTGTGAAAATAGAGCAGAGATCAACTCATTAGAGAGTGCACGTTGTAATCGAATCCACATAATTGAAGAAACTGAATTGTCTGCATATTCGCTCATTTCGCAAGCTTGATCTTAGATCGAACAGAAAGAATTAATGCACGATAGAAATTAGGTGAACCCGATTTAATTCTTCCGTATTAAATCTTAATTAATATTTTACAGTTACTCGATTATTCAGTCAATGAACTTCTCCCGTACATTATACCGTGCGTGAGATATCGTCCTGTACTTTCCTCATAATTTCGCATTTCGAAATAACCTTTTACTCGTTAGGTTTTTTTCTCGTCGAAAAATTTGGCTGAATTGAATGAAAATTTGAAAATTTCAAAGTTAAAAAATTCCCGATATTCGAATCCATCAAATCGTTACTCTTAGTTTGTTTGTAACAAGTTACTCTATC